AAGCCAGAGACAGAAATGGCCAACACCAGGGGCAGAAAAAGCCAGAGACAGAAATGGCCAAGACGATACAGAGCAGCTTGAAAAAAAAAAAAAAAAAAAAAAGACTTAAAAAAAAAAAGGCCCACATTTTTTTTTTTTTTTTTTTTGGCTGACATTATTATTATATAAATAAGCTGGACAAACTGCAGTACCTGCCCTGTCAGAATGTACCTGGGCGTGAAGCGAGCCAGGCGCATTCAGGTCGGGGCATACAGCTTTGACAGGAGCTTGTATGGACATCTCCCCATCAGGGGGAAATTGACGAGATACACAGATCAGTCACAGAGAGTTCTCCTGAACTTTCACCGACGCCACCCTCTCGCCTCGTCGTCGGAGAGAGCAATACACCCTGATAGCCGGGCCGAGGTCCCACTAGCAAAAAGGATAGGATCGAGCTCCTGAATCTGGATGTGTTTTAAGTAGAGATGCAGAAAAACAGTTCAACCTCGATTTCCTGCATATCGCCATAAAATCGTCCAGATTCAGGCATTCGATCCGATCCTCTTTGCTAGTGGGACCACGCCCCCGGCTTCCATCAAACCTTTCTTTTTTTTTTCTCCTCTTTTTTTTTTTTTTTTTTTTCCCCGCTCTGAACAGATCAGTGCATCAACCCTTCGGCGAACTGCGTCATTAAAATCGTCCACCGCACTCGAAACATACTTCGGCCATCGCCACACCACTGTCGAAAAAATGAAGAATGGAGGACTGCATGTTCCCACAGGGAGTGGCCAGATGCATCCATTACTCTGAGAACGGATGCATCCGACCAATTTCTGAGTAAGATGCACTCGTACCTTTTCCATTTCGACAGCGGTGTGGCGAGGCGAGGCTCTTTCTGTAATCCGCATGCTCTCTCTTGTCTGCCACTCTCATCCTCTCCGCGCCGCCATCGCCAATATACTCGTCTCCTCCCTTCCTCTTCTCCTCCCTTCCTCCTCTCCTCTCCTCCTCCTCTCCTTTCTCCCCGCTTCATCAGTCCATCCTCTGCGCTAATCGCCGCCCATCGGCACCTCTTTCTTGCCTATCTCCGCTGTCCGACTTCCTTCTCTATTCCTTCGGTTCATCCGTT